TAAAATTTGTTGTGCTTGTTTGTGAACCAGAACGTTTTTCAATGAATTGAGCATAACACTTGTCGTTGGATGGGCATACAAGATTGCCAGCGCAAAGTAAGTCAGCAGTGGATGAATCTGTTTTAAAGAGTAAATAGCTGATTTCTAATCTTACAGTTATTTCATGAATATCAAGCCATTTCGGCGAACCTATTGCCTCGCGTACAAAAACTCCTGATCACAATCATCTGTTGAATTACACGTATAAACAATAGAACCGATCGTGGTCGCTGAATTCAAGGTAAATTTAGTGTTAAAAGTTGAAGATTTATTGCTTAAACGTAATTTTATCTGAAGAACACCTTCAACGAATAATGTTGCAAAATTTACAGTAAGATCTACTGTGTACACAGTAGTAGTAATATCAATATCAACAGTGTTACATGGAATTTTAAACGGATTTGAAGAGCCAATTGGAACAGTATTAAATTCGCATTTATCAGCACAACGAATTGTGTTCACTTGATTAATGGTTAAACATAAGAGAATAGAAAGCGCTAGAATATAAGATGCCTTCATAGATGATATTGTCTTTTTAGCAGGTCAGTAAGAAATATGTTTTATGTTTGCCACATGAAACGTTGTTATTTACTTATATATATACCCCTGGAAAAAAATAGATTTAGTCCGTATTTGACTTATATTGTCACTATAAAACAATATTTTCTTTAAACCAATTACATCTTCGAGAAGCGCTTGGAGTTCTGCATCACCCTGTATATTTACATTCTAACTTGCGACCTATTTGCTGCAAAATAAATCGAGTACAATGAAGGCAGCTTCATCGTCAGATTCCCACAGATTTTTTTTCCCCATCTTCTTGCCAATTAATCTTTTAAATCTTTCATCACTGTAGAAGTAGCTTTTTAAAAAATTAAATATATATTCTGATAGAGCTTGAAAAGCTCTATCATCCTGTATATACATCTTTTGTTTTGGCTTCCACTATTGAAGAAAAAAAATAAATTCATTGAAAACATCTGCATTTGAAAAGGATAGAAATTTTGCAACTTTTCGCTTTTTTTAAGTTGTTCTTTGACATTATCTTTCTTGTAAGAATAAATTCCAATAAAAAAAAGTAACGCTCGTCCGAGGACTCGCTCAGCTCTTTCTCGTAGAAATGGATTTTCTGAACTATTCAGCAAACTACTCATATAATTTCAAAAATCGAAGAAAGTGCACTGTCGGTGTGTGTTCCTATTAAGTTCATCAAGACGTTTCAGTTCAGCATCTTCAGCAAGAAAAGGTTGGATTTGTAGAATTTTCATGTTGAAAGATTCCTCGACTTCGAAAACCTTTGGTCAAACTTTCTAAAAACAATTTTCTTTACTAAAAACGCCTTTTCTACTAAGAAAAACTAGTTCAACAAAATTATCACAAACTAACGGTACCAATCGATTCCCCGACCTCAAAAACCTTTGGTCAAACTTTATAAAACAATTTCTTTTTCGTAAAAAAGTGGTCCTTTATGTAAAAAAATGATCCACAAAAAAATTTAAAAAAACTGGCCTCAGATTCGAATTCCTCGACCTCGATTACCTTTGGTTGAGTTTTATTTGAAAGAACTCTTTTTGTGTCGAGATCGTTATCCGACCAATCAGTAAAGTGCGGACACACAAGCAAGCAAGCAAGCAATCAGACAATTTATGTTTGCAAGACTCTTCTCTACGAGAAAGAGAATAGTAAAAACAAAAGATGAATTTCAATACTAATGGCACTCGAAAATATCGTATAACTGTTAGCGTCCATGATGAATCACTTGGACGCTAAACGATGATTAAGATGCGCCTTCTAGTCTAATTGGCTTAGGACATCTGCCCGGATAGCAGGAGGTATGGGTTCGATTCCCATGAAGGTCATCTTTTTCATCGTTCTGTCACATAACATCAGTGACACTGCTTGTCTCTTTCGTTCTATACATAAGAGCTTACAATAACTGCTTCACAAAATAACTATCTACACATGTAGCATAATCTTGAATTATTTCAACACCTTATTTAAATTCAATTGATTCACATTCAATTCATTTTCTATTTTAAAATGCTCTTTAAAAAAAACTAACCTTAAAAATTTTGCCGAAAGCTGCGTGGATAAAAGGAAAATATTCCTAGTAAGTGTCTGGAAGTCCAGAAATGTTTGAATTCTCTCCTCTTTGTCCATATTTGTATGATTTTGACAGAATCTCCACAATGTGCATTTTGTGCATGGCAGGCGGATATCTGACTTTCTTGCTGAGAAATAATTGGTATGACACAGAAAAGCATTTTTAAGGAAAAAATCTTTGTTGGGAGAAAAACTGAAAAATGCCTCATGAACCTAGGTTTTTTAAAAATCCACTGTGCAGTACAGGAATGCTTGCGTTAACAGGGATTAGAGATAGTAGATAGAAGAGCATTATTGCAAAACTTGAAGGTTGCATGTGGATAGATTGCTCATTTACGGGACCAGCCCTTCGGACGACGCTGTAGAAAAAAAATACTATTTTTTTTCTCTGAGAAGTTAAACGTGCAAAAATTAAAAAAAATACTTTTTACTATTGTATAGGGCTCGGCTTGAAGATTCAGAAACTGTACTTGATTTGTCTGTCGAACAATTTAGTTTTTGTTAGATATCACTTTTTCCGGTGACATCACGATTTTCACACTGTGCTCCTCTCTCCTTGTCTGCACGGTCTTTATGAATGACTCTTAATGACGATAATGATAAATAGGAAGTAGTAGTAAATAAAAATAAAAATAAACAAAAACAAATCATTCATCAATTATTAACGATTCCAACAAAGTTAAATGATGAAACAATTGAGACAATTCCATATGATGTATGGTTATTAAAAATCTTCGAACGTTATGATCTTTATCGATATTAGTTATATAAATAACGAGAAAAATGTTATAAATGTGTTAGTAATGCACATTTAGAATTTAATCAAGCTATTGTAGAACATTCACAATATATACAATTAGAAGATTATTATATATTAAAACATGCTATTATTATTGCAATGACAACAACATGTGTATCAAAATATTTTGATGTTATACAAAAACTTGGTAAGAAAAAGAAAATAAATAAAATTTTTTTTTAATGATCGTCTTTTTCAAATTATCAGAATTTTAATTTATTTTTAAATTTAAATTATGAAAAATAGTTACTAATATTCGTTTTCACGACGTATCATATCGAATGATACGTGACCGAGTAGCTCAGTTGATATAAAGATTCGAAATAGTGGTTATGTGTATTCTATTCTAACCTTGGTCATAAGTTTCTATCATAAAAAAAATCACTTACAATCTCGTTTCTGTTCTAGATAATAATTTATGTTATGTTATTTGATGTGTGGTCTCTATTAGTTGGTTTGGTCATTGGTTTGGTCGTTGGTATTATTCTGACCTTATGGTGCGAATCATTTATAAGAAACATTATTGAAGTAATTATGGATGTTCAAGGAGCACCTCAACAACATCCTCCACCACCTCAACAACAACATCCAGCACCACCACATCAGCTCCAACGTCGTCGTCATCATGGAGAAGGAGATCGACGTTGATGTCGAACAATAAAAAATAAATAAATAAGTAAATAAATAGAATATTTTATTATATTTTATTTTATCGAAAAAAGATGACTTAATTCTATATTGAAATGGTGGCTGTAGATGTGGGTCCTAGCTCTCGCTTTGCTATATCCAAACCCTACAACAGATCAGGATGATGGTCAAATTATCAATTATTGGTCATTAAATATAATTTTCTCGGTATTTTCAAAAGTTGTGTTGTTTAACGACAAAAAAAAAACAATCAAGATCATCTGATTAGTGATAATGCTCTTATGATATCACATTTGTTTTAAAAGTCAAAGACCTAAACATTGTAATTATTAAGTATGAATTAGGTGCTTAGACTCGCTAAAATTTCAAAAAGTCTGCTTTTGTTCAATATACAAGAACAATGCATTTCCAAATCACTTTGGAACTCTTGGTACATCCTGTACCATTTTTTCTTCGCAATCAAGTTTTTTTAATTCAGTATAACTCTTCTCTCAAGTGCGTATCAGTTGAAAAAATAACATAATTTTATATCACATAAACAATAATAAATGAATGGAGGGCTAGTTCAGTAAAGATAGTATTCGAGAAATAATAATAAATCGGAATCAAAGACAAGAACAAATATATCAAATTTTGTGGCAACTAATTTGTATCAGTTCAAATCGATTGCTGGAAATCCATGAATATTGAATCAAATTAAACACATGGGTAGCATAGTTTTACTTAGGATTGACCAAAAGTTCTGATCCCGGTGTTTAAAATTTTATAAAATAGTTAATATCGAAAATTTTATTGCTTAAATACATAGTAGAATGTCTTATCTATAATAGGATGTGGACTAGATAGGAATAAAGGTGAGACGAATGCCCGTACCCTCAAGATAGGTGTAATTACAATTTATATGATAAATTACATGAATGTAATCTATTACTATGCAAGAAATAGTTTATTCTCGTGATTTATGAGTCTCGAGTAAATTGAAAATTATTATAAATAGCTTTGATATTCATTTATTGATTAAAATTATTCTTTTAATCTTTTGAGGACCGACTTTTTTTACAAAAGAAAGTTGTGTTTTCACTTAAAATATCAATTATAGTTGAAAATTAATAACTATGATTTTTTCATCCGGACTCAATGCAAAAGATGTACGATGTCCATATTGAAACAACAAAGACAAAACATTCATTCAAGAAGTATAATAAACAACAATTCAATAACATATGAGAAGTAAAGTTAATGCAAGAAACTAAAAATGCGATCAAGTATGGAATGCGTCGAAACAACTAACAATACTGTTAAGGATTTATTCTTCCTTGCGAATAGAGACTTGCGGAATCAGATTTTTTTATTCCGAAATCCGACTCCGATTC